AACAACGCTCTTTTGTCATGTAAATGAATCGGCAAGCCCTCAAAAGCAATCCAAACCAGAACCACAGGGGATTCCACGTTTGGCTTAAAATCCGGAGACCATTTAGTAACTCTCATAATATTACCCTGAATAGACCAAGTTTGTCTATTCCAGCATCTTAAATAATCTTCCTCCAATTCAAAACGAATTAAAACATGCTTCTTCTCTAAGTGAACCAAATTAAAAGATCCTTTAAAGCCAGTGACTTCAAAAGATTTTCTGATTAACGAAAGGCTAGGCCTACCACGGAAGAAATATCCAATCAAAGATCTTTTTTGAATTGCTTCCAATTGTTGAACATCCGCATCCGAAAAAGAGATCGCTAGAAGATCCTTAAATCTCGAACGAATAGGGGAGATGGTTGATTCCTTATTAGAAAGCACATCGGCAAAAGATTTCTTAGACCAGATTCTACCATCTGGTGGGGGGGAGCCACCGCAACGGCGTCAGCAGACATTCAAAATTCAAAAATCGCCAGAGAGAAATTCGAATATCATTGATCTGTGTGGCCTCAATTTTAATAGGTATATATTATAATGTAGTTAGTATTGATAATTGTGATGTTATAAATGTATTATTTTTAATATTTAATGATTAACTTGTGACTTAAGATTGTTAATTGTTTCCTAACATGGAAATGAGAACCTTTATATGGGACGTCCAAAAAAGGAAAGTGGGAACCTTCTAATGGGACGGAGAGAGTAAGTATTGTTGAGGTTTATCCTTCAATCCATGGGTCCAACACATAACCTAAGGATTTCGAGTGAAAGTTGTGAGTTAGAAGTTTAAACAAGCAGAGAAGGGTCTAATAACTCGTAGTAAGTGGGATGTATCTTATTAAATAAATGATAATAAACTTCGGACACAATACACTTCACTACGGAAATAAATGAAAGTTGTGATTTAGTTACAATGAAATAAATGCTACTATGTATGCAAATGGCGACCATACGGAAACCAAAGCAGCGGAAAACCAACGTCGTGGCCCGGAGAACCACGGCCGGAAACCAAAACCCACATTACGTGGTTCCCTACGTTGTTGGACTTTGAGATGGGTTGGCCGGTCCGCCTCATGGTGTGCACCGGTCATCTCGTCTCTATTGCCGGCGATATGCTCCTGGCCTTAGAAACCCGCTTTTACCAACCCGTCCATGTGGCACCACCCACCCACCGTACCGAATCCCCGACCGGCGACCGCTTTACTATCAAGGGGTAGTTAGACATGCTGACATGGTGGGCTATGGATGGCTAGGGTCCCAACCACTAAATCTTCTTCATTAAATGTGCTTCCCGCCAGAATCTTGGTTTCCTGCCAAGGGGTGGGGACGAGCGTCCACATGATCTCGCATCATGTGCCATGTTGGGCTCAAAGTGATAGGTTCCGTGCGTCTCGTGCTATATCCTGGGCCAAGATACCAAGTTGTTATCTAGGTACGTGCGTCTTCTGACAGATGCCCCTTGGGCCATGGCTGCCTGCCCAATGTGGGCTGGTACTCTGAGGCCGGGCGTCCTTATTGGAGACGAACCTTGCCTCTGCCTTGGGCTGTCTGAGGATTGCCGCCCCAAATGGCCTGGGGTTTAGAGGATGAACGTATGTTGGGCCTTGAGGGGGTGATGGACTGATCCCTGATTGGACCATTAACCCAACAAGTATGGTGTTTGATAGGTAAACACTAAACTTATAAACAAAGTTTCCATCTTAATTGGAGAGTATTGCACAAATTGTGAAATTAGTGCAATACTCGTAGCATCAAAAAAAGTGGAATTCATCCATAATACACTACACAACGTCATTGCATGTGGATATACATAAATAAGTATAGTGTTTTATATATAAACAAAAAATTATAAAGTCGGCATCTCAATTGGTGAGTTTCCCTATGCAACATGTTGTTTAAGTATAGCCGACACTACACAACATGTTTGCATCTCAGAAAGTCGCATTATAGTTACCCAACAGTATTTTGGTAAATACTTATAATGTGATGGTAATTTCGAAATCGATTACTTCCTCCGTCCCACAAAACTTTATCATATTGACATTTTTTATCAATGATGATCATGTTTTACCAATGATATTATTTAGTATGAATTATTGCAAACATGAAAATTATATGAAAATAGACATTGTTAATAATACTTTTAAAAAGTAAGAAAGTTATAAGATTTACTTAAATATAATAACTAAAATCGTTGTTGAAAATTTATTATTATTGACAAGAATGTCAAATTGAAAAATATTTACCCGGAGAAGTTGCTAGTGGTGCGCTTATGCGAGATGCAGAGGGAATCTTAATCTTTGCTACTTCCATTCCTCTAGTTGCAACCTCCCCGTTGGAAGATGAGTTGTCTGCGGCCTTATTTGCGGTGGACCTGGCGATTTCTGAGGGCTTCTCCAACTTCACGGTTGAAATGGATGCAACGGTCGCTCTGAGATATATTGAGGACGAGGTGCGAGCAGATGGAGGGGCGTATTTCAGGAAAGCGTACAGAAAGCAACAAGGAATGGGGTTAGTTTTTCCTACTGTGAAAGAGAGTGCAACTGGGTAGCCCACCACCTGGCAGACCAACATACGGCCCAACATCTTATCTTTAAACGGGCTAAAGATTTACCGAACTCGGCCCAAAAGGCCTATTATTCCGATCTGTTTGGCTTTCCTTCTTTTTGTTTTATTTATTGATGTACACCATTGGGTCACGCCTAGCCCCCTCAATGGTTTCTTTTATTTTCCGTTTTCCGGTTGGAACTTCGGGAGGAATGCCTCCCTGGAGGGGTTTTGGTTTTGTCCCCCCCTCTCTCTGTATTTTTAATATTCTTAATAAATTTTGGTAAATGTGTCCCGACATTTACCCCACTTATTTTGGTGGTTTCCCTTCCGGGACTTAAAAAAAGACAAGAATGTCAAATGGGCCAAGTTTACAAGATGGAGGGAGTATTTATTTTTCATTATTTAGAAAAAGTCCACAATTTAAGGCAATAATTTTATTCTTTGACTTCTTGAAATGTCCATCTTACCAATTGTGAATAAAATTCACTTTTGATCCTACGAGTTTTAGGTCAATTCCACATTTAGTCCACATCTTTCACTTTATCCACTTTTGATACATGGCTATTGTGTTTTCGCCCACATATGGTCCTTCCGACATTGTTTCCGATGGTTAAATTCACCGAAAAAGGACCAAAAATGGTTAAAAACATTAGTCAAGTACCAAAAATGGACAAAGTGAAAGACATAGATTACAGGTGGAAATGACACTAAACTCGTAGGAGCAAAAGTAGAATTAATTCTACCAATTGTTATCCAAAAGGTTGAATCATCAACCTCAAAAACCCATTTCTACCAAAGCAAAATTCGAGTAGAGGTAATAGTGTAAATTGGTAACTTATTTCACCATGTTTAACACAACATAATCATTATTATTAAGAGGTAATAGTGTAAATTGGTAACTTATTTGCTAAACATATCAGGAACAAGAATTTATTTATGGAGTTTCTAAACACCAGACCCCTTAAATCTATGTTTAAAAAATCAGCGTGGATAGGCCATGTCGGCCGAAACCCCGCGAATCAGACTAAAATTCGATTCGGGTAGTTAAAACTCCGAAAAATGACAAAATTCTAAAAAAGAAAAAATGGTCAACCCAGTCCGAACTCAGACAACTCGAAAAACCCAGTCTCGGAGGTTTATTTCAAACTTTTTAAGCATTTTTAAACCAAGAAAATTGCAACTTCAATACCCTAAATGAAAATAAATATGTAGCATGTGATATACTTATATATTTATTTAAGGAAAAAAAATATTCAATCGTTTTATCTGTGCTCAAAAAATGATTTATCATTTTATAAAGTTGATTGTTTTTCATTTTACAACATATCGTTTCATACGCCAAAAGCTTTTTTCAAAAGATAAAAAATATTGTCTATGCACAAACAATTCTATTTGTATACGTAGTATTATATTACAAATCATATTTCTATTTTTTTAAAAAAATTAATTGATTGGGTGTACTGGTAAAATAGGGATGATACACAAAGATGGTATAGAAATGACTCCAAATAGGACTACAACTATGGCAAAAACTCAAAATATGACTTACTATATTTTTCTTTTCAAAATAGGACAAAATTAGTCATATTGGAAACATACCTATTTTTTAATTTCATTCTTATCCTTCCTTTAAATATGAGTTAATTAAATGTTTAATTCATAATAAATTCGAAAAAAATTCAAAATTTCAAAATAGGACAAAATTAGTCCTATTGGAAACATACCATTTATAAAATAAACAATTAAAAAAAAATTAATTTTTTTTATTTTTTAAAAAAATTAATAAAAAATAGTAAAACTCCATAAAAGAATTAAAAAAAATCTGGATGCCTTTCCCACCGCCTGTACTACCTCCCTGCACCACCATCTCCGGGCGGTGAAAAAAATGCAATTTTTCCTAAAAACTGCCATTTTTTCTGAAAATGCCAAAAATATGGCATATTTTTCTTTGAGAATGCCAACATTTTCATTATTTTCTACCATAAATATGGCATTCGTAATGAACTTGGCATTTTTTCCCCTGATGACTGGAGGTGGTGGTGTAGAGGCGGCAGAGGCGACGATGAATTTTATTTTATTTTTTTGAGTTTTAGATATTTTTTTTATTTTTTTTTATTTTTGAAAATAATTAAATAAATAAATTATTATTATCGAAATATTTTTATTATTATTTTTATTATTTTTTATGAATTTTTTTATTATTTTTTATTATGTTATTATGAATTAAAACATTTCAATAGTTATAAGGGTATATTTATCCAAGACACATATAATTAATCCTATAAAAACATAGTTTATTTTTTGATCCTATTTGTAATCGAGTTACTTTTAATCTATTTTGATAATTAACCCAAAACGGTATAACTAGTTTTTTTTCTAACTCCGCGAATCCAATTTTGCCCTTGTGCACACTCACCGAATTATAACTCTCCTTCACTTGCTTGCATCTATCGCTCACGCAAACCAGACCGCAGACTTTCATTTGTGTTTTTCCCTCCCTTCATAATTAGCAGCTTCACATTTTCTGCAATGGCTGCCTGGGGATTATTCATCGACGGCGGAAATTTGCTTCCAGTCCCTGGCGATGCACAGTTTTCCGCAGAACACGGTTACGCGCAGGCAGGCAATTCCAATAATTTCCCAGTGGATGACCTCTTAGATTTCTCCACAGAGGACGACGACGCCATGACCGACGGTTTCTTCCACCAGCACACTGCTACTGGCGACTCCTCCACCGTCACTTGCCTCGACAGCTGCAACTCCTCTGTTTCCGGCGGCTGTAACTTTGACGCTACATTCACCGCCTCTGAAATTTGCGTTCCGGTACGGCGTATATTGTTTGTTCATGTCACTTATTTCTGCGTTCTGAGTATCTTCAATCATCTCCCGCTTGGAATTGAATTTTTCTCGCGGTTATTTATTTGATTTTAGGTTGTGAAATAATTGATCTATTTTTCTCTGTCAATTGTTTGTACAGTATGAGGATCTGGCGGAGCTGGAATGGCTCTCAAACTTCGTCGAAGAATCGTTCTCAAGCGACGAGTTTCAAAACCTTCAACTCATTTCCGCCGCCAACGTTAACTGTACCACTACAATTGCCGCCGTCCACCACAACATAACCGGAAACAATAGTTCTCCTCCCCCGGAATTTCCGTACGATGTGTCTGTTCCCGGTAAAGCACGGAGCAAGCGTTCAAGGGCCTCGGGTTGGCCTTTCCGGCTCCAACAACTCCCTTCCGCCACGTCATCCTCCGACAGCAGCGGCGGTTCAACGGAGCCCGCAGCGAAAAGAGCGGCGTGTAAGAGAAGAGAGAGCAGTGAAATTGTCGGGCGGAAGTGCCTGCACTGCGCTTCTGATAAGACTCCACAGTGGCGGACAGGCCCGTTAGGCCCAAAGACACTCTGCAATGCCTGTGGGGTCCGCTACAAATCGGGTCGCCTCGTGCCCGAGTACCGGCCCGCGGCGAGCCCGACTTTTGAGTCAGCCAAGCACTCCAACTCCCACCGCAAAGTGGTGGAGCTCCGGAGGCAAAAGGAGTTCCGGGGACATCATCATGAGCAGCAGCAGGTGCTGCTGCTGCAACCGCCGCCGGTGGTGAGTCAAGCCTCGATTTACGGCGGAGAAGATTACTTGCTTCAGCATCTTCTTCAACAAGAAAGTGGGTGCACTGATTTTAGGCACATGGTGTAGGTAGTATGCGCAGCGACATTAGTGTGCGCACCTTTACCTTTTTTTCAAGCTTTAAGTAACAAACAACCCTTTTCCGATTTGACCATATATATTAATTACTCCGTATAATTTTTTTTTTGAATTTCTAGGAGGGAAAAAAGAAAAGCTATTCAAGTGGGAAAAGGAAAGCAGATATATAAATTACAAGTCCATGGTAGTGAATTGAATTTTGAATGAATTGCTATTGCTATATATCTTATCATTGTTATATGATGAAGTATATATAAAGGAAATTTCCATCTTTACTACTCCGTAGTATAATTATGATAAGCTGGATTTCAACAAATTACAAATTATTTTTAGTAACAGTTTAGTCACTTTAATGAGTAGTGAGTGCTATTTGAAACCATTTTGTAAACTCGTGTTGGCGATATAAGTAATGAAAAAGCTTCGTTTTCTTCTTATTTCTTGCGGGTAGCGAGTATGATTCTCACTATTGATCCAATTATCAATGCAAAGTGCCAAAGTTGGCATTTAAATTAAACCTAAAATTGGAAGTTCCTACGGCCAATAAACTTCCGTCCAAAGTGTTCCCACTCCAAATTACGAATAGTAGTTTTACGGAGTCATATTACTCTACTTCCAAAAGCTTGAATCCCCAACCCCAAGGGGTCCCCCACCCCGACCCGACAGGATTGTGAGAGAGTAAATCACGGTGACTCAGTCGGCAAAGCGGTAGTAGGCCTTTACCCGTGCGCACCAGAGGTCCAGTCTTATTTCAGGTTCTGAAAACCCCCTTTTGGCCGCTGCGGGATTCGAACCTTGGTCTATGTCCAATTTTTCCCACCGCTCGACCAACTGAGCTACCCGTGCGGGTAGAGTCATATTACTCTCATATGGGGCAGTGGGACATCGCACAAAAAAATGAACAATTAGAATGGTGAAAATTTTTAAATTTTTGACTTCATAAGAGAGTCATATGAGGCTTTTTAAATTTTTGGCGAGTAAAGAACGTCAACATGCATACTTACTCCCAAGCACATTGTTATAATAAATGGCATGAATTCTCTCAAATTTTAAAATGGATTAATCTTGAATTCTTGATCATTTACCACATTGGGCTTTTGAATATTGTCCGAAAAATTAATTAGTTGAATACATTGGGATTCTTAGGTGAAAATAAGTTTTCTTTACATAGAGTATAGATTTTAGAGTAAAAAATCGGTTTATCAGATTTTCGAGAAACTGGTCTAAAAATTGACACTAAACATTTGGGTAACCGATAAAACTTCGGTTCGATATCTATGACTTTTGTGATAATTGTATTGTTGGTTCTGTAATATTTACTTTATTCTTTGACATTTCTATAATTTACATTTTGACTTCTAAGATATTATTATATTGTACTACATTTTGACATTTTTTATAATATACTTCCTCCCTTCTTTTTTAATTGCAACGGTCTACTTTTCACGTTTGCCAACACACAAATTTGACCAATAATATTTTTCATTACTTATTAGTAAAAAAATTAAAAATATATATTTTTAAAATTTAAAATAAGAGAAATTTAAAAATAATTTTTTTAAATTTATTTTGTAATACATTAATAAATAAAATAGAGTCAAAGTAAAACATGTAAATAGTGTAAAAAGTCTAATGTTGCATTTAAAGGAGAACGGAGGTAATACGTAATTCTAATAAATTTTGGCCTCACTTGAAAGTAAATGCTAGATCCGCCCCTGCTTTTACTTGGCAACATACCATAATTTCCTTTTACTTCTAGAAATACCGACCATACGCACTATTTACTAATTTACTAAGGAGAGAATAATTGTATATAAAGTAGAAATAATTCCTAATTAACATAGTGATCAAAATAATAGTAGTGGAAAAAACGTACTTATAATTTTGAGTGACTATATTTGTAATCGAAGTTTACAAAGTCACTATGACGTAGAAACTACGATGTAAAATTTGAAAACAATTATAATCTCTTAAATTATTAAGTCACATTTAATAGTGTATAATTAATTAAGTATTAATTATTAGGCAGTTTCCTAATTGTATTCATATACTTATTTATTATATATATATGTCAGGGCTATCAATTAAGGTAAGCCTGTTATTATCTCTCACATGGTATTAAGAGCCTAGGGTTTTCCACATTTTTTTCCCGTCTCTCTTCATGAGTATCGCCGCCGCCAGCAACCCCGCGGTTGCGCCGCCGGTCTCCAACTCACAGTCTGTCGTTAGCATGCCTCTGTCACCCATGATGTCGACGGCGCCGGCAACCCTAGTTTTTGGATCCACCTCCGTGATGCAGCTGACTCTCGCCATGTCGTTTCCCATGAGCAGCGCACCAGATATGTCCGCTTAGGTCCCACCGTCGTTTGATTGGTCACCTCCGATTGCTTCCCGACAGCCTGCACCGTCTCTCTCTGATCCCTTGGTCGCGGCAGATTCCTCCCGGGTCTCGTTTGGCGGTCCCACGTTGTCCGGTCAACAAGGGTTGGCTCCTCTCGGTCCCCTTCGTGCGGTTGGATGTGCACCACCTCCCATATGGCAGCCGGATCACTTGAAGCTATTGCTCAATCTATGGGATTTTCAGCCCCCAACATTACAAATATTGTCACTACCAATCTTGATGTTGTCGAAGATTATCTTCCATGGCGCACACAATTTGAGTCCTTCCTGGTATCTCATGGATTAATGGGCATTATTGATGGTACAATTTCTCCTCCTCCTTCTACTACTTTAGATAATCTTCGGAGAGAAATTGCTAACAACGAGTATTATTACTGGTTAAAGTTAGATCAAACGGTCCGTTCATGGCTGTTTGCTACTTTATCACGTGATATACTTGTTGAAGTCCATACTCTGAAAAATTCGGCCATCATATGGGAGCGTCTGGAGTCACGTTTTTATGGCTGCCAGTTTAGCCCCTTACATGGAGTTAAAACGATTGGTGACTCATACTAAAAAGAAAGAAAATCAATCTATGGAACAATATATGCGTGAAATTCAGAAAATTGATGATGCTCTTGCTGCTATCAATTACCCGGTTTCTCTGAAAGGCCTTCTCGAACATACTTTGCTTGGCCTGGGTCCTGAATATGAGTCTATAATTACCACATTAACCTCGTTCCCCAAAGGTCTTACTTTTGATAAGCTACGAGAGACGCTAGTCAAACAGGAGCAACGAATCCACTATCTTCGGTCCTAGGAAGCGGCTGCCTCCCCTACGGCGTTTGTAGCTCAGCCGGCACTACCTTCCATTCCAGGGCCCGAGGCCCGAGTTGGGTTCCAGAATCAGCGAGGTCGAGGCCGTCGCGGACAGAGAGGGCGGGGTTCCCGTGGGCGTGGCCACGGGTATGGACAGTACCAACAAGGGTATGCGGCCCAACCTCCTCCCTATTATCACTCACGGCCGGGTCCAGCTCCAGGGGGATATTTTCAGCCATCATATTATCAACCTCCTCCACAGCAGTCTTCCTCTCAAGCCAGGCCAGGTACAGTGTTATGTAATACGGTTTATTCATCATTTAATACGCATCCCTATTTTGCTTGTGTTACTAACTATGGGTCTGCAGGCTTCTTGTTAGTTGATGAACAGTTTGGTTCTATTCCCCCGCCAATAGTCTGTCAAATCCGTTATTCTCCAGGTCACTCTGTTGTTTCGTGTCCCTCTAAATTCTCCCAAACCTCAGCACCAGCCCTCGCTGCACCCATGAGTGACTCAAATGACGTTGTCTGGAAAACTCCGGTGATTCTTCCCATATGACCCCTCAGAAAGGTACAATTGTTAATAAATCTATTTATTCTAGACCATTAACTGTTACCGTTGTGAATGGTACTAATCTACCCATAAAAAATATTGGTGATATTTTTATTAATTCCCATTCAAAGTCACTCCATTTAAGATCTGTTTATCATGTTCCTCAAATTAAATATAATTTATTATCTATACAAAAGTTGTGTTCTGACAATAATTGCATGGTGATTTTTGACAAAAAATCTGTTTTTCTAAAGGACAAAACAACGGGGGTAGTTCTACTTCAGGCTTCCAGTAGCGGCAGTCTTTATCCAATTCGTTTGCCTTCATCTTCTGTTCTGGCACTTGCTTCTACCGCGGCACCTGGACCGTTATGGCACCGCCGTTTGGGGCATTGTGGCACTAGAGTTTTAGATGGTCTGAGGAAGCGTGATCAGCTTAGTAGTCTTTCATCTTTTAATCATGATTGTACCTCGTGTCGATTGGACAAATCTCACAGATTACCCTTTCAAGATGTTTTTCATTCTTCAAATACACCATTATTTTTAATTCATCTTTTAATTAATTGATTTTTGTCTATCGATCTTTAATTAGTAATAGTTATAAAAAAACTCTATATTGTTTTGGCAGTGTAAAAAACCGTTAAACAACCGTTTATAACACAAGTAGATATTATAGTACGTAGAGTGGGTGAGGGATGGAGCTTAAAAGAGTTCAACCCATGGCTTGTATGTTGGAAAACAATAAAAGGGGCCTAATATGTAATTAATTAAAATGTGTTTACCATCAGATAAATAATACAGTGGCCATTCATGAAATAATAAAAGTGTAGATACCAGGATAATATATTTCTTTTGGTGACGGGTCAAATTAAATATATTATACTAAAGTGATACAACGGTTATGACCCCCGGTGCGTGTAAATTAAGAGATAACAGTAAAGATATTGTAACGGAAAATGGCCTAATAAATTATTCTAAATAATATCATTATTGCAACAATAATTAAGGAATTATTATTAGGAATAATAAGAGCCAACCGTTACAATATTGAACTAGTCCTATATATATCCCATCTATTATAGGATTAGGATATCTCATATATACATTGCTACATAGCACTGGAAGGTTAGCTGATTAATCACGTTGAATTCCAGGGTTCTTCTTAAAGTGATAATGCAAATGAATTCTCAAGGTATGATTCTAATTTTAGTTCATACATATTTGATTTCATGGATTTATATGAATTTAGCTATTATATATTTATATATATATCGCATATGGAGTTTTGTTGATATATATATGTATGAATATCCTACAATTGGTATCAGAGCCTACCATTATAGATCCATGAAATTCTTCGTTGATATGCGTTCATCATTATATCTAGAATTTTTATTTGAATTAGTGAATTCTCAAGTTTTATTTTTGTATGAAATGATTCGATCATGTGCATCTAATCATCGGATAAGTGATAAATTTCTGAGGAATTTTTTATTTTCGATTCTGTTTTCCGCTGCATGTATATTTATCATTACAGATTCATTTCTTTTATCAGCAATTCAGTGCTTCAGTTCCTTTTGTTTTTCAAGTATTGATGTACGATTCATTTCATGATTGAATTCTCAAGATTAATTACTTCATGTCATTTGCACCACTTGGAGTCTCAAACATGAATATAATTCAATGTAAATGTAATGTTAAATCATTAGTTTTACACGTACGTATACATTGATGGTGCTGAGTGAATCTATTTATTACACGTAATGAATTAATTTTTAGCCATATGAAACCGTTTATGCCATTTATATGCTACGGTGTAATTTAATCCAATGACTCTATGAGCATACATGTGCTGTTATATTATGAATGATGAAGTCATCATTTTAAAGCTTAATTGATATAGTACAATTGAATTGAATTCTGTATGCATGTCCAAATATAAATTTGATTGCAATTTCATGATATTTTTCAAATGAAATTACTACGTATGTATTAAGTTGATGCTGATCTATTATTATTTTTTGGGATCGATTAGCAACTTGTTTTAAGTTTGATTAATTCCATGTTTATCATCAAACTTGTGAATTAAATTGCCGTTGATCATGTATTTTTGATTGACGTAAGCCAATTTTAAAGTAGTATTGTGGTAAGAATTTTTGAACCGTGATGAAATTGTAAAATAAAAGGAGTTTAACATTTAAATGGGTATATGGAAACAATATGTCACCAAAGTGATCCTATTGTGTAAGTTGCTCATATAAAATATTAAACATAGTACATACTTTGTATATAGTTCAAGTAAATATTAATCGGCCCAAAGGAAGATTAATATTTTATCAAGTCACATATATACATTTTGGTAATAATAAATATATAACAATTATAAGGCTGCACTTTAAAAAAAAAAATCAACCCAAAGGTGGATTTTTCTTTTATATGTATTATTGTTATATTTTATTGTTACAACAAGAGTACCACTAGCAATTAGTATTATTGTCCAAAGATGAAATACTAATGGTGCATTTGGTATCTTGTGATGGGTTAAAAACATTTTACAATTTCACTAAAATATGTGTTTATTGTCTTGTTCTTTCTACAGTTAATTTTTCGAGCATATCTGCCAATCTCAACTTCATCCCTGTCCTAAATGGTACTAACTTTAAGGAATGGAAAGAAAATATTCTAATAACTTTGGGCTGCATGGATCTTGACTTAGCATTAAGGGTAGAGCAACCTGCTTCTCTTACGGATGGTAGTACCCAAGATGAAAAAAGGTACTATGAGAAGTGGGATCGCTCGAATCGCTTAAGTCTTATGATCATAAAGCGTGGCATTCCAGAATCTTTTAGGGGTGCTGTATCCGATGAGGTTACTAATGCCAAGGATTTCCTTTCTGAAATTGAGAAACGTTTTGTTAAAAGCGATAAGGCGAAAATAAGCATGTTGTTAAAAGACTTTACTTCCAAAAGATATTCAGGAAAAGGAAATATAAGGGAGTATATTATGGAAATGTCTTATATTGTTTCTAGGCTCAAGACACTTAAGATTGAGATATCGGAAGATGTTCTCGTACACATAGTCTTGAACTCTCTTCCTATTGCATTTGATCCTTTTAAGGTTAGTTATAACTGCCAGAAGGAGAAGTGGTCTCTTAACGAGCTCATTTCATATTGCGTGGAAGAGCTAGAGAGGATGAAACAAAATAAGACAGAAAGTGCTCACTTGGCTAGCACCTCTAAGGATAAGGGTAAAAAGAGGAATAGAACTCCCATTAAGAATGAAGCTGCTAAAGGTCCAGTACAGAAGAAACATAAGGAAGGTGAAACAACCTGTTTCTTCTGTAAGAAGTCTGGACACATGAAGAAGGATTGTACCAAGTATCACGCTTGGAAAGTGAAGACAGGTACGGTCCTTACCTTGGTTTGTACTGAAAACAATTTAGCTTCAGTGCCTAGAAATACTTGGTGGTTAGACTCCGGTTCAACATCTAACATCAGTATTTCTATGCAGGGTTGTCTGAGCCACCGCAAGCCAAATGATGCTGAAAGATGTGTCTATGTGGGAGATGGCAAAGCGGTGCATGTGGAGGCTATTGGGCATTTTAGATTGTTATTGTCTACTGGTTTCTATTTGGATTTAAAAGACACTTTTGTTGTTCCGTCATTTTGGCGGAATTTGGTTTCTGTTTCTTATTTGGACAAATTGGGTTATCATTGTTCATTTGGAAACTTTCGGTTTCATTTGTCTTTAAATTCAAGTATAGTAGGGACTGGTTCTTTTATATCATATGACAATCTTTACATGCTTGAAACAATAACTTCATATAATAATGTTTTGAATATTGACACCCGAGGCACTAAGCGAAAGGTTGATAATGCACAATCTGGTTTTTTATGGCACAAACGATTAGGTCACATCTCTAAAAATAGAGTTGAACGTCTTGTGTCTGATGGAACACTTAATTCCATTGATTTTTCTGATTTCAATACTTGTATTGAGTGCATTAAAGGAAAACAAACCAAAAATAAGAAAAAAGGTGCATATAGAGCTATGGATGTCTTAGAATTAATACACACGGATATTTGTGGGTCATTTCCTACTCCTTCATGGAATGGTCAACAATATTTTGTGTCATTCATAGACGATTACTCTAGATATGCATACTTATTTCTTATACATGAAAAATCTCAAATCTTGGACGTGTTTAAATCTTACAAATCATAAGTTGAGAATCAACTCAACAAACGCATAAAGAAAGTCAAATCCGACCGTGGTGGTGAATACTATGGGAGGTATGATGGCTCAGGTGAACAACGTCCAGGGCCTTTTGCCAAATTTCTAGAGGAATGTGGGATTGTCCCTCAATACACCATGTCGGGTTCACCTAGCATGAATGGCGTAGCTGAGAGATGTAATAGAACCCTTAAGGAAATGGTAAGAAGTATGATTTCTCATTCTATCTTACCTGAATCCCTCTGGGGTGAGGCATTAAATACCGCAGCTTACATTCTTAATCGAGTGCCAACTAAAGCAACTACTAAAACACCTTATGAGCTTTGGACGGGTAAAAAGCCTAGTTTAAAGCATTTTCATATTTGGGGTTGTCCAGCCGAGGCAAAGCCGTATAGGCCGCATGAAAAGAAACTCGAACCCAAAACAGTTAGTAGTTACTTTATTGGTTACTCGGAACGATCTAGGGGATATAAATTTTATAATCCTGAGGATAAAAATATTTTTGAAACGGGAACTGCCATATTTTTCGAGGATGTTGAGTTTTGGGGGAAGAATAAAGTTAGGGATATTGTCTTTGAGGAAGAATTGATTTCAATACCTGAACCAATTCATATGGATGTTTCTTTTGAAACTAATGAAGAACCTCAACAAGGCATTATTTCATCTTCTCCTATTCAAACTGAACAAATTATTCAAAATGAACAAACTCAACTTCCTCTAGAACAAGTGCAACAAGAAAATGTGCCATTGCGGCGATCCGCTAGAGAAAGGAGATATGCAATTCCAAGTGATTATGTTGTATATCTCCAAGAACATGTGTCAAGCATGGATACAATGAACGATGTCCTTGTGTTTATTCAAGAACATGAGGAAGAAAATGGTGTTATGGAAGATGATCCAATCAACTTCCATCAAGCCATGAAAAGTTCAAATGCTCAAAAATGGATTGTTGCAATGAATGAGGAGTATAAATCTATGCAAGAAAATAAAGTTTGGGAACTCGTCCCATTACCTGAAGGTTGTAAACCCATTGGTTGTAAATGGATTTTTAAAACCAAAAGGGATTCAAGGGGTAATGTGGAGAGATATAAAGCTCGTCTTGTAGCTAAAGGTTATACTCAAAAGGAAGGAATTGATTATAAAGAGACCTTTTCTCCGGTTTCATCAAAGGACTCTTTTAGAATCATTATGTCTTTAGTTGCACATTTTAATTTAGAGCTTCATCAGATGGATGTTAAGACAGCGTTTCTCAATGGCGACATTGATGAAACTATTTATATGGTGCAACCAGAAAATTTTGTGATAGGAGATCCAAAACAAATGGTTTGCAAATTAACAAAATCCATCTATGGGCTGAAACAGGCTTCTCGTCAATGGTATCACAAATTTCATCAAGTCATTTTATCCTTTGGTTTTAAGATGAATGATATAGATGATTGTGTATATCATAAATTCAATGGGAGTAAAATCTTTTTCCTGGTCTTATATGTTGATGACATTCTTCTTGTCACTAACGACATAGGCATGTTGCATGAAACCAAGAGATTTCTATCAAAACATTTTGAAATGAAAGATCTTGGTGAAGCCTCCTTTGTATTAGGAATTGAAATCCTTCGTGAGAGATCACAAGGAATCTTAAGGTTATCACAAAGGAACTATATCGATAAAGTTCTTAAAAGATTTGGCATGGAAGATTGTAGACCGGGTGATACCCCTATCTCTAAAGGAGACAAGTTTAGTCTCGATCAGTGCCCTAAAACAAATCTGGAAATTCAAGAAATGAAAAAGATTCCCTACGCATCTGTTGTAGGAAGTCTTATGTATGCCCAAGTTTGTACGCGTCCGGATATTGCGTACATTGTTGGGATGCTAGGTAGATATCTCAGTAATCCGGGAATGGTTCATTGGGTGGCGGCCAAAAGAGTTATGAGATACTTAAAGAGAACAAGAGACTATATGCTTACATATAGAAAATCATATCATTTGGAGGTCGTTGGATACTCTGACTCTGATTTTGCCGGCTGCAAAGACACTAGTAGATCTACTTCAGGCTATGTTTATTTACTAGCGTGTGGTGCTGTATCTTGGAAAAGTGTTAAGCAAGATATGATAGCTACCTCAACTATGGAGGCAGAGTTGTTGGCCTGTTTTGAAGCTTCAAACCATGGAATATGGATGCGCAATTTTATTGATGGGCTAAAAATATTAAATGAAGTTCCAAAGCCTATCAAGATATTTTGTGACAACAATTCTACGGTGCTTTACTCTAACAACAACAAGAGCTCGAGTAAGACAAAACACATTGAAGTGAAATATCGAGCTATTAAAGAAAGGGTTCAGAATAAAAGGGTCGTTATTGAACATATAGGTACAAACTCCATGCTAGCGGATCCTTTAACCAAGGGTCTCCCACCAAAAGTTTTTCATGAGCACACTGCTCACTTGGGAGTCATTGATTTTAAGGAACACTGAGTTTAGTGGGAGTTTATAAGTTATGTTTGATGTATTTTTTTTTCTGATCAGAATAAAGTTTGACATTTGGTGTATTCTGAACAATTAAGTCATTAAAGTTTAAAGTTTATTAAAGAAGGGTCAGTTGAAAATTTACATGTACATGCCACATTTCATGTAATTTTCATGCTACACATTTCATGATTGATCTATGTCATTATGTTATATTGATACTAGTAATCATTGGTGGTATAGTTATGTTTAACATGACAAAATGCTGCAATGGTTCTATATTAGTATGCCTGATGGACAAGATTGTTTAAGGATGTTATTTTATGATGGTATTTTTGAGCTCATAAAGATAACACATTTTATTAAGAATTACATATAAGGCCCAGTGGGAGATTGTTGGAAAACAATAAAAGGGGCCTAATATGTAATTAATTAAAATGTGTTTACCATCAGATAAATAATACAGTGGCCATTCATGAAATAATAAAAGTGTAGATACCAGGATAATATATTTCTTTTGGTGACGGGTCAAATTAAATATATTATACTAAAGTGATACAACGGTTATGACCCCCGGTGCGTGTAAATTAAGAGATAACAGTAAAGATATTGTAACGGAAAATGGCCTAATAAATTATTCTAAATAATATCATTATTGCAACAATAATTAAGGAATTATTATTAGGAATAATAAGAGCCAACCGTTACAATATTGAACTAGTCCTATATATATCCCATCTATTATAGGATTAGGATATCTCATATATACATTGCTACATAGCACTGGAAGGTTAGCTGATTAATCACGTTGAATTCCAGGGTTCTTCTTAAAGTGATAATGCAAATGAATTCTCAAGGTATGATTCTAATTTTAGTTCATACATATTTGATTTCATGGATTTATATGAATTTAGCTATTATATATTTATATATATATCGCATATGGAGTTTTGTTGATATATATATGTATGAATATCCTACATTGTAGTCCCAAGTCCCAACCACTAATTGAATTGTTGCGAGAGATCAGATAACTATTGTACTGCATTTTTATTATACATCTTAAAGCGTAATACTGAATTCACTTATATTAGTGAAATTTGAGTTAAAGCGGCTGAATTAACTGAATTATGAAAAAAATAAAATACGTTTTATTAATAGAGTAAAGTGAAAATTATAAGAAAATGTCACAACAGTCTTCTTCTTCAATAGTTTGAGGCATTTAGCTAGCTAGAAGAATTACTATTACCTTGCTTTTTTGAATTATTATACATTTTTTTCCAGATTGTGATATAAAATTTAGGGTATCAAATGGGATCATAATGTAAAGCCATCAAATAAGGGCCAATTTTAATGGATACATATAAAAAATTATATTAAATGGGACTAAAACATGGTTAAAACTCCAAATAAGGACTTCAAGTTTTAAATTGCCTAAATGGGACTCCACATTACACTTTTGCCCTTCTGCTATTAAAACCCTTCTCTCGCCTCCTTCTGCAATTCGTCACTGGCCACGCACATCGGCAGCACATCGATGACCCCTTTATGCAATCTACGATAAATTCATCGTAGCAGCAGCTCCGCACATCCCTTGACAGCAGCTCCTCCATCGGCTATGGCCACGCATAGCAACTCCACCGTCGACCACATGTATCCTTCTTCTTCCTCTTCTTCTTCCTCTTCTTCTTCTTCTTCTTCTTCTTTTTCTTCTTCTTCTTCTTCTTCTTCTTTTGTATATGAACTTCCCATCCTCTTCAAATCTGGATCCTCTGTTTTCTTCTTCTTTAGATTTTCAGAAAATGACACTTTTTGAATAAGAGAATGTCATTGTTGTGTCATTATTGATCATTTCTAAAAAATGTCACTTTTATGTCATTGCAGTTTTTGAAAATGTCATATTGAGAATGTCATGTATCTATACGAAATTGTCATTATTGTGTCATTATGCATATATTAAGTGGCATTCTCGCATATGAAGTGTCATTCCTCGTGGAAGTCTACACAGACTCATAAAATCAACACATACAAGGACTTCATTTGAAGGCATTAAAGCAAGGTACATGCTGCTGCATATACAGGGGGAATTGAAGATAATCATATCTATAGTTTGATCACATTGAGTATGCACTTGATAAGAGTATGAGTAAGAAGTACTGAAGTTTTAAAAAAATTGTTGAGGCGTGAAGGTGGTGAAGGTGGTTGCAGAATTGATGGATGGTGGCAGAGCCGCCATTGATGGAGGAGCCGCCATTGGTGGAGGAGCTGATCTTGGAGGCCTGGAATCGGACAGGGCACACCGTTTGCGCAGCAGGGGAATCGCATATGCGCAGCAAAGGCCCGTGCGAACTCTTCATTAAGGGCATTTTGGGTAGATTACCTCTTTTTAGTCCTATTTTTATCAAATAAAACATAGTAGTCATGTTTTTGCAATTCTACCTAATTTTAGTCCTATTTAGGTAAATCTCTCTACATATAATTGGTTTAGGTATTGAGCCATTTCTTCCGTGCACACTTTTAAAACTTGATTTGTATAATGTATTGATCCAGCAATGGCAGATGCGCTACTTAGATTGAGAGCAAAATCATTCCATCGCCCATAGATTGGTAGCACGTGGAGTAGGCGGTCCTTTTGTCACTTGCACTACTAGCCTCGATCTTGAATTGAAGCAGCGCCGGGGAATTGGAATAATAATATATAATGGCTTTATTTCATATATACTCCGTGTATATATACTATACATTCGCTAGCTTGTTGACAAAGTAAAGATGAGAGGTGAAAATGATCGAATGTGCCTGGCCTGGTAATATATACGAGTAACTTGCTGGACATAGAAGGATGGATCGATCGGGTGGGGGGTTTGTTGCTTTGCAATATATAAGCATCTCGTCGAGTAAAAATGAGATCAAAATGATAAAATAAGTGGATCAGGTCAATTTCAAAGTGCAAAACACGGTGATAAAAGTGTAAATATTAGGAACTTTTACACTTTTATCACGGTGATAAAAGTGTAAATATTAGGAACTTTTACCCGCACGGGTAGCTCAGTTGATCGAGTGGTGGGAAAAATTGGACGTAGACCAAGGTTCGAATCCCGCAGCGGCCAAAAGGGGGTTTTCAGAACCTGAAATAAGGCTGACCCTCTGGTGCGCACGGGTAAAGGCCTACTGCCGCTTTGCCGACTGAGTCACCGTGATTTACTCCCCCACCATTCTGTCGGATCGGGGTGGGGGGACCCTTGGGGTTGGGGATTCAACCTTTTGGACGTAAATATTAGGAACTTTTAAAACATAAAATGTTAAATAATGTGCATGATTATGGGAAAAATGCATTTGACTAATAAAATCAAAGTGCATCAAGTTTCGAAACACAATACGGAGTAACAATTATAGAAATTGTTTTGTAATTTTTCTAATGTACATTCTTGGATATCGCATATGCCTTTTTAATATTTGGTATTACACATTCGGGTTTATCATTTTGATACCCCGATTTTAATATATTCTATCCATATTTTTATACTCCCTCCGTTTCTGAAACAAGTTCCACCTTTCCTTTTCGGGCAGATTCAAAATTAAGTTCCACTTTCAAACATTTCCTTATTTGGCAAATTATCTACATCAAAACAGTGTGAAACAGTGTTCAAACAGTGCTCAAACAGTGCCAAACAGTGCACTCCACAGTAAAGTCAAATTTATTTTCTTAATATGTGTGAAGTCAAATGTGGAACTTGTTTCAGAAACGGAGGGAGTATATATATGAGGGCCGGGCCGGGCCGGGCGGCCATGCATGGTCCACGGGAGGTGGGCGGTGCCCATGTCTTGAAACTTGAAAGATGAGGAATTTGCACATGTACTGCTCCCGGCCACTCCATGCTAGCTATATATAATAAAAATATCCGCTAGCTACTTTTTACCCTAATTTTTGCTCCCTAAAAGTCTATTAGATGTAGTCTTGCTGATTAATTGCTTCAATTAGCTCAACAACAAAAATTACAATTCTTTAATACAAAAATATGTCTAAGGCACATCATCATTATAAGTTTGTTCCATTCAACCGATCTATCGCTCATACGGAGTATGAATTTATAACGGCATGCAAAACAGCTTTCAAATAGACTATATTTAAAAGTTCATCAAATCCAATATCCACTATTGTAAAAATTCAAAATGGCAATTAGACTATCAACTACTGGTATCTTTGTTTATGATGATAGTTGGTTGCACTTTAAAAAAGACATGCCATTAATTACGGATTTTGACATACAATCAATCGGGGATTTTATCATGGATTCATGTATGCAATAAAAGTTTGTTTCAGATTTTCATTTGAGTCCATCACGAACTTTAGCAGGGATTCGTCACGATCTAATCTGATCTGTGACAAAAGCTACCATGATCACCGTGAATTTTGCTCCTCGTAACTCGAACTTTCTAGTAGGAGGGAGATAAAGAAAGGTGGAGAAATGGTGGGGGAGAGAAAATGAAAAGATTATGTTTAATTATTATTTTTAAGGAAAGAGATAGACTGAAAAAGAAATGGAGAGAGTAAATAGAAAGAAGTAAATAAAGAGGAGTATGACCCGATCACCGTCAAGGATCCAAATCCGTGATCATATATGTGCTTATACTGTGAGGAAATAGTTATTGAAAATTAAACTTGTTTTCATTTTAAGGTCTCTAGAATTCTCCTACCATTAATATATGCATTAATTATAGAGTACGTTGTCTGGATACACTACAAAAAAACAGGGGGGTTGTCACGGATTTTGTCACGGACACCGGTTTTAAAAATCCGTGACAAACAACTTTGTCACGGATTTTGTCATGGACTGTTTCCGTGACAAAACAGGTGTGACAAAACGGGTGTGACAAACTTTTGTCATGGAATGCGAACCGTGAAAAAAGTTGTGTCACGGATGTGTCACGATTTGTATCCATGACAAAATAGGCACCAAAGTAGTGTGCCGGTTCATATTTGTCACAGATTTATTCGTGACAAACCTTTGTTACATATTAAAAATTAAATTGATTTTTTAAATTTTTTGAAACGGGAACGGCGGGAAATTTAAAATATTTGAAATTTTGTCACGAATGAAATCACTTTTTATAGGTAGATGTTGCTGCACTACTTCCTTGATAGATAGACAATAATTGTTTTTGCACCTTAATGGCATCTGAAAACTGCTGAAACAAGTGAGGTTGAAAAACACCTTCTTCAAATGCATTAAGAGGTTTTAGAATGGAATCTTTGCACCATCGTCATAGCACATATCTATCTAGAGTTGCATTGACCTTCTTCTCTTTCAACACCAAAAAAATGTGACGACACAAAATCACAATCCTTTCAAAATGTTTGCAAGAGCAAACTGTAGTACCGTCATTAGTATTGTGCACAACTGTGAAATTAAAACCTCGTTCATCTGATATGACATACGTAAACACACAATCTTCATGTTGGACACTAAGACCAGTACAAGAAAAACAGGCGCAACAGATTTCTTTCTGAACAAGATAAAAAATTGAAAGATTGTAAACAGAGGAAGCATATCTTTCAATATGTAATGGAGTCTTGTACTCGGGAATGGAGGACCCAGAAACTTTGATCAATTGTGCACGACTATGCCTTTGAGATTCCATTGCACTCTCAAACTGCATATAAATCTCAACCAAGGTGAAGTTTGGATTCGTGAATTCATAGAAAAAATGGTTTTCACTTTCAGAACGTGATGTAGTCCTAAGCAAACCCGCCATGAAAAGGTCACCAAAATAAGCAGGAATCCACAACCTCCTAATCTCAAACATGTGTGAAAACCAACTGTGATCAAGTAAGTCATACTTTTTCATCAAATTAGTCCATCTCATCTCAAATTCAGATGGTTGCAAATAATGACTCCACACAATACAATTCAATTCCTTCATAAAATATGCATCTTTACTCAAAACCAGTCCAACTTTCGAACTCACATTCTCCATAATATGCCACATGCAAAATCTGTGACATGATGTAGTGAAGATCTGTGGAATAGCAATTTTCATGGATGGGTCTTGATCTGTTATGATTCATGACTTTGGTTCCCGACCCAATGCATTCAAAAAAGAACGAAACAACCAAGCATATGATTCCACATCTTCTTTCAACAACAAACCCACACCAAAAGTAATGCACTTTTTATGATTATCAACGCCAGTGAAAGGGGCAAAAACCATGTTATATCTGCATTTTGTGAAGTAAAAACAAATGTGAATTGAATAAATGAAAAATGTGCATTAAGAATAGTTTGCAATGCATAACATATGAAAACAAAGTTGTAGCATGCATTAAAAAAATGAAGTGAACAAATGGAATAATTAGTTATAAAGACAACACCTGTTCGTCTCATAAGTAGCATAAAAAGAAAAAACATCCCCGAATAACGTATAGTTTTTTATGCTCACTGGATCTACCCAAAATACACGTGTCAACTGGTCGCTCTCATCAACATCATAGTCAAATGAAAAGGCTGAACAAATCTTTCTTTCTAAAAAGCTTATATATCAATATTTGGGCATCCACGCCAACTAGATAAGCCTTCAAATCACGTTTAAATTTTTTTAAATCCACAGATATAGCACAAATATTGGCATAACCTCCAACAGTTTCCTTATACAATCGATAACATTTCATTGTGCCAATATTTGCTTTAGCACAATTCAAAAAAAACTCTTGGTGCCCAATGTCAAGTTTTCTATTCACTTTTAGAAATGGCATCGATGAATCAGAAAACTTAAGGTGGTTATGCCTCTCCTCAAAAAAAGTAATTTTGTATCGATTCATGCCTGCAAGCTTATAAAGTGCACGTGCTTTGCAATCACACCTATTAGAAACCCTGCGTCTTTTTTTTCTCATCATCATTAACACATACGCCCGAAGTTGGTAAATCTTCAACGTGAGGTTGGTCTTCATTTTCAGATCCATCAGAATCACATGATTCATTATTAGTACTGAACTGATGATCTAAATCAACATTCTTGCAGGACTCACTGGTAGATGTAACCGTTTTAGCGTTAGATACATTTTTAAGCCCTGTCTGTTACACACCATATGTTTCCAAACAATAATGCCATCACAAGCCCTATGTTGACTACTTTTGCATGATTCAAAACCACAAAGTGATGCATATTGATCATAAAAATGCATACCATCCTCTAAGTTATTGAACAACATACCAACACGCGGTCTAAAGCAGGGTCACAATCAGGTATCCAATACACAGTGGATCCCGGAGAAACTTGCATTGTATTAGCATCAAATAATTCAAAATTTGATGTAGATGCACTAAAGGGAACGTCATTTGAATCTAATGGAAACATGCAAACAAAGTATTCACAAACACATAATGCTTTAGCACACAGAATTTAATAAAATTGCAATAGCAGAATGCATATAAGAGCATCATAATAATATTTAAAGTGCACAAGCAAAATATTCAGAAATTAACAAACACATTCTATTAACAGACACTACGGTAAAAGTACAATATCCAAACGCATATCCAACATAATACAATTTAGAGTGCATTACAAAATAGTCAGAAATAATTAAACATGAATATAACACACATTTTCAATCCATGATTCATAATTTGTCAATCCAAAAAATGGTAATACTCAAAGAACTCCATGGAATCGTTACGCCGGAGGAGAAAACTCAAATATCCAAGAATGTAAAACTGTGAAAGTTTAAACAATATAATAACAAATATAATTGGATTGAAACTTACTGAACTTCATGGAATCGTTATGTCGGAGCAGAAAACTGAAAACGGATGGAGCAGTAGACCGAACACAATTTCAAACTCGACAAGGAGAACTGACGCCAGAGAGAAAAACGACGAAAGAGGAATAACAGAGCAATGAAATCCGATCAATGCTTTCGCTTTCATGACTAAATCCGATCAATACATTCGCACAAGGAAAGAAGAAAGAAGAAGGCGAAAAATATCTTTGGAAAGAATTGTGCAGAAACGGTTATGCAAGGAATCATGCAGCGTACGTTTAGGAAGTGTACGAACGTACAATTGAAATTGACTTCAATACCCTTTGGGAAGATTAAGGCGCACGGATGATTAAAACCTAATCCAATGGTTGATATCTATTCTTTTTTACTCTCCTAAAATTAAATTCTCACATGATCCTAAATCTAAGGTTCAAGTGAGAATGGTCTCGCAGGAGAAAAATGAGAATAAATATTAACCATTCATATAATTGATCTAATGGCTATTAAAAAGGGGATCGTGATATGATTAATACGAATTTGGTCACATGGGATTTTTTAGAAAAGGAAAGATGGAACGGGTAGTTACTCATAAGGGTATTAATGTCAAGTATGGGAAAATTACTTGCACACGTTGTTACTAGTACCGGAAGTTACTCCCTATAAATTAGGGTGATTAATTCTCCACATTAAATGACTCAAGAGTTTCCTTTCTAAATTCAATACCCTATTATAATTCGACTTGAAGTTTTCTTAATTAAGATGCTCATTTACATGATATTTTCTTAATTAAAATGCACATTTACGTTCATCAGAATTTTCTATGGTGCCTACAAGTGAATATAATCATTGCACATTTATTTAAAACATTATGCACTAAGGCTTTATTAAAAACGTAGTACTCATTTTTTCATTTCCAAACTCAATAAGCATCTACTCCCTATAATTTACTTTTATATCAATATTGCAATATTTATGTCAACTACGATTTGAAAAAAGAATCTTGAAATGTATTCGAAGTTTTAAATACATGCACTTTTGGTTGAAGTGCTAGTAGTATTTTAAACAATTAATTTCATTCTTCGAAAATTTAAAGGGAAATAACATGTTTATTAAGTTAATTTTAATGTCAGATATTGCACTTTTATGTCATTAGTTTGCACTTTGTATAAATCAAATTACAGTTTAGCCATGGAGCTGTGCACTTCCGTACATGTTTTATATAAAGGTGTAATCTAACAATTATAATGTGCATTTTAAGTATATACAAAAGTGCACAAATATATTAGAATTTCTAAAGTTTTACATTAACACATTTTTACATAATGAAATGCACTTTTATCATGTGTACTTTAAATGCATATAAAAGAGCACTATTATATCACACTTGCTAAAATTTTACATTGATATTTTTTTCAAAATGATCAAAATGTACATTTTCTTTGAAATGCAACATAATTGTTGTATTATGATGTTGTCTTCTGGCTGTTGGTACAAGTTATATCATTCATAGTATTTGAATGATTCACTTTGCTATGTTCCATTTTTGGCGAGTCCATTGCAATGCAGTGATAAGCAACTGCATAAAAAGTGCACCGTATATATAATTTTGTTAGCGACAGTCTTAAAACAACTGTAGAGCATAATCACAACATTATAGTGCTTTAAATAACATGCGTAGGTGCATTATAGTGCATCATAGAGCTAAATGGCAATGTCATAACACACACTCCAGATAGAAGCGTGAGGAATCGACTAAATTAAAGGTTCACAGTTCACACAACAGAGTGCAAATGTGCATTAATAGTAAAAAGTGTGCATTATATGAGTGTCGGAGTGCATATTTCAAAAATTCTTGTGAGGTAGTGTGCATTAGATGACATTGAAATGAGCAGAATAAAAATTTAAACTCAAGTGTGCATCAGATGAAACGGGAATGTGTGGAATAAAAGGTACAAAAATAACATCACATCGTACCTTTTATTCTGCATATTTCAGTTTCACCTAGTGCACATTTCAATTTCACTTAATGCACAATTCATCTTCACAATAAGTCATTCTATCGTATCATTTGTGTTGCACATTTCAATTTCACATTTTCACCTAATGCACATTACAGTTTCATCTAATGCACATTGAATTTCATTTAAAGTAATCTAACGGTCTAGATTCATTCTTATTTTTCTCCTAAGATCATATATATAGGGGAGGGTTCTAGTGAGAACCCTCTTAAAATGAGAACCCAAATTTTAATGTGAGAACTCATGGTATTTTTGGCTGAAAATTTTTGTGTATATTCCTCATTAAGTCTAGTTCATCAATACCAAATTTGAGCAAAAAATTCAATCAGGAAGGTTGTCAAACGATTTTTGAAAGAAAACTGCGCTTTATATGTATATTCCGGACCAGTTATCTTTCAAAACTCATTTGTCAAATTTTTTTTGAAAGAAAACTGTGTTTTAAGAGGGGTTCTCACTAGAACTGAGAAGAGTGCTTATCGTAAGAAATGAGAATGCATCTGGTGCGTTCATTTTAAGATCTGTGCATCAGATTAGCAAAAAAGTGCACGAGAAAGTGCAAAGAATATTAAAAAAGTGATGCTAGACGTGCTTCTCACTTCTCACGTTAAGATGTCTTCTTATTAGAACCCAACCATATATATATATATATATATATATATATATATAACCTCTTTCACATTTTATATACAGATATAAAACACTCCCTATATATATATATATTTAATTTTTTTAAATAAAAGGTTTTATTAAAATGTTAAAGGTGTTATATATATATATATATATATATATATATATATATATATATATATATATATATATATATATAGGGAGTGGTTCCAATGAGAACAAATCTTAACCATACATCTTAGTAAATTAAGGGTCACAAAAGGAGGAGATACACAGATGTATGGTGGGGGTGCAAACATTAAGTTTATACTCTTACACCATCTAATCTATACGTATGTTTAATGAAGGATAATAGAGTAATTTTCAAAAGTTCATTAATGTGGTATCGGTTGGAGGCTATCACTTACCAAAAAATAGGAAGAGATAAAGGGTCAAATCATATAAAATGTTTTAGTTTAAAAATTGATTTAAAGTTTTAAATTATAATCAGATTTTAACAAAAATCATATCAAATTATATAATTTTTTATTATCTTTCATATGACACCAATATGTCATATATGATTTTGTTTTTAAAAAATAAGTATAATATGCATATAATAAACCACAACAAACATCTTCAGTTACCGCATATACATGAATATGTATCTGACACACAAACAATAATATCTAACGCACAATAACCAGTAACTAACACACAATGCGTATAAGAAAAACTAAAACAAGTATCTTAAGCACAAAATCTAATATCTAACGTATAACGAACAAAATCTGACACACACAAATTACAAACTAATTAATATCTAACGTAAAAGGATTTCACCGAACTTAAACTAATATATAACACACAAGAATCAATATCTAATGCACAATACGAATATACAGTGAAGAACCAGTACCTAACGTCCAAGAACACACCAAGTATATAACGTCCAAGAACGAGTATCTAACGCACAATCAATAGTGTCTAATGCACATGAAGAAGTACTTTACACACAATTCATATGTAAAATACCATAATGAGTATCATGAGCACAAAAATAAATATCTAACGCACAATAACAAAGAATTAATACGTAACACATAAAGACGTACGTCATACAACTTAAACTAGTAGTAACACACAAGAATCAATACCTAATGCATAATACGTATATACGCCCAAGAACCAATATCTAGCATATAGTATGTAGATAAGAATCACAACAATATAAGTATCCAACTCACAAAAACACATTTCTAATACACAACCATGAATATCTAATGCACATGAACCAATATCTAACTAATAGTTTATATATAACAACATAAGACAAAAGTGAAAAAAATGTCATGAATTTAGATGGACTATTAAGATGTGGTTGAGCAATGAAAAACTTTATAGTTGGGCATGTAGATTGCAAAACGTTTCAGCCACTACTACTTTATTATTATATTATAAGATAGTAAATTACTTAATAATTTAATGTTTCTTCCATAAATAACGGAAGTCAATATTCCGAATTGGAACAAAACAAGTTACCATAATAAACTAACTTGAACTCATTACCAAAATGCCCACACGTAGAAGCTAGATCTAAGGAAGCAAAGACTTGAAATAAACGGTTAGGATTAGTTCTCATTTCTTACGTTAAGAGTTGTTCTCATTTGAACCAAAATCTCTCTCTCTCTCTCTCTCTCTCTCTCTCTATATATATATATATATATATATATATATATATATATATATATATTTCCCGGTTAAAGCCACACGAGGTGGGGAGTGTCGGGAAACACCTCCCTAATTTATTAAAATAAAGTTTGATTACAAAGGTTGAGAATCCAAATGGTGAACATGAAGTACAATACAAAGGAAGAAATAGAAAAAAGGTACATCAACAATTGAAATTATTTTGAGGGATCCCAATTGAAGCCGAAATCGATCTGTTGTATTTGTTATGGAACCTGATGGTCCTCTTAAGGTACGGCCTAAATGTTGTTTCCTCCGGACGAGATAACCTGAAGCGCTGTAGAGCTGTTACTAGTTTATGCGGTGAGTCGAACCTGTCATCAACAGGGTAGAGAAAGTAGTCTGATTCATTCTGCGGTCTTTTTAATTGGCTTCTGGTGATCATGGGATGAGATGAGTATCCCACCTCATAATATAGTTGTTCGTCTTCAGTGACTTCGTTTGGTGGGTTCATTCGCTCTCTCTCTCTCTCTCTCTATATATATATATATATATATATATTATTTATAAATGAGGACTCTTAATCTCCACCTTTGATATTTCACATCAAGGGCCAGAATGAGCAAGGTGACATTTTTGTAATAATTTTATAATAATTACAAAAAGTACCCCGTTTGAATTTTGAATAATTACACAAAGGACCCCATGTCCATCCTACCAATGAATGAATAAAATGAAAGGTTGTGATGAAGAGTTCTCATTATAAGGAGTTCTCATTTTAAGAGAAGTTCTCACTAAAACTCTCCCTTATATATATATATATGGGAAAATTCTCAGGACCGAATGTTCAGACCTGAGACGCCGTCCGAACACCGTCG